CTCTGCTGGCTGCTTAAGGTGTATGATGGTATAGCTGGAAGCCTGTTTTGTCAGACCCATACCCTAATGTTGGCCTTTTTTTTTCTTTCTTCTAGATGGACATCTTTCTTGATTATGTTGCTTGGTACATGTGGTCAAGTTTTGCCACTGACCTTTGTTTTCATCCATTCTCATCTGTAACAAGACACCACGTTATGCTTACCATGGCTGGGGTGCGAATGGTTGCAAGTCTGTTTCTGTACGGTCCTGATGTTGCACCTGAACCATATTCGTTTATTCCCCCCCACCCCGCCTTTAATCCCCATCTAGAAAATTATAAATTGCTAATCTGAACACATCTTTATGACCCGAGTGTATGAATGCATTGCTTCAGAATATGCTGTTATATACCATTCCCAAAAGTGATCCATTTTGGGGGGGGGCATCTCCGAAACACCAGACATAACCTTGTTCTGATACATGTTTTTCTTCCTGGACTTTATATCTGCTGTAGTTATCATGTGACTTTTTGATTTGTATATTAAAAATAGTTTAATATAATGTGATCAACTTTCTGTACTTTGTTACTTTTTATACAATTTGTCATTAATGACAAGCTAATTATAGGACTAGTTTACTTGTATACTTCTAGGGAATGGACATTGTAATGGTATTTTGGACATATCAAGGAAGGGAGACAGAAAGGATATGATACAGGGAAAACCTTTTTTTCCTGAGTATAATAACTGTTGGCCCACTTGTTCTGGAAGCATCCATGAAGCGAGTTATGTTCTGGTTTTGTGTTGAGGCCACTTCTGTTATTAGAACCTAGCATGTATATATATACCTTATTATATAGGCTTTACTGGTATTGTGATAGTTTCCTATCTATCAGATTACGAGGGCTTGTAAGCTTCTGAGAGAATGTGGACAGACACAGGAACATCTGTTATCACAAGTACTTATAAAGTGAGGTAATGCAGCCATAGTAAACCTTATTTTTCCAATCAGATAATTTCCTATATATTTCAAATTTGCAAAGTAAATTTGATTAACTAATTTTTTGAACGCATTTATTATGTTTCTTGAAATAAAATTAAGCACATCCAGTAATTTTATCTCACTACATCCAAATTCAAAGAAAAGAGCTTGTCATACATATTGGTTGATAAACATATAATGTGCATACATCAATACAATTGCACATTTTTCAACAATCCTCAACAGTTACAAAACACTTATGACAAAAATACTCATTAATATTTATAATATGTTGATATTAATGTGTGTACCCCCAGGAATCAGTAAGCCAATTTTTGTTTTGTGGCATATCCAACATTTAGTGTGATATTTTTTAGTTTACAAAAGTATTTTTCAAAAGAGTAAATGAGTAGATCCGAAAAGATATATAACAAAGTATTTCTAAATTGGCCCAGTTCTCACATAAAATAGAGTGGTCGTGATATTTTCAACTCAAAATAAAAATTTATTCTAATTTTTGGACGACGAGCAGCCACTTTTACTGGAGAGATGGATTGATCAGGTTAGTTACATTCTCTCAAAACATACTTCCGCACTTACTCATATAAATGATAAGTCCATACTGATTACATTTTACGGTACGTAGTTGAATCTTTAACATCTGGCATTTTCTTCAAAGATTATTTAGAAAAAAGGCAGTTAGAATGAAATTAACGACTTTATTCACCAAGTGTTATCTAAAAACTGTACAAGCACATGAAGAAACGAATATTTTTGAAAAATTCCTATATTAAAAACAAGGTAAAAAAAACAACAACACAATATGCCTGTATACTATATTAGTTTCAGGATATCCAGGCTTGCAGTGTTAATGGGGTATGTAGCCATACCATGCATTTGCTAACCCCCACCCCCTTGTGTTAATATAGAATTATTTAAATTTTCAGTTGTTCTAGCATTTGTTGTTTTCACATAGAAGGTTGGCCAACTAAAACAAATCATACAATTGTTGCATCGCACCAAAATATTAAGTTATAGTAGAGTTAATGAAGCCAAAACATGATGTAATTTATGTTATTAAGCTCAGTAGTCGTCCAACCCAATAATCCAGTCATTTTCTACCGCTCTCCAATTATACGTAAGAGTGCAGCGGAATGTAACGACTGGACTATTCGGGTTAATTTGTACTTACGCATGGATTTATAAATAAATTTGATAAATACATAAAAATGATATACTTTCAATGATTAAAACAAAAAATGGCTGTTGACGACACACCTTTGAAAGGATTTGGTTGATTGTTAAGCACAATGCTACACAATTGACTATCTGTGCTCTGGCCATCACAGGTATCGAAACTTGATTTTTAGCGTCGTAAGATTGCTGACTTACCACTGACCCACTGGGGGTCCCCTTTCGAAGGAATTCTCGTATGATATATGCATACTTAGTTAAACGATTGTTGTGAAATATTAAATAATTGATATCGAGAAAATAATTTTTAAAACACAAAAACTTTACGTTGTTGTCACATGAAGCTACGTTTACTGGTTTGACTTTATATAAACGTAATACAAAAGTTAATATTATATTTGTCAATGTCTTGTGATACTGTCAACGATATATATTAACCGCTAAAATCATACGCAGACCTATGTGAAATACAGACAATCTGTAAATGATTGTATTGTTTGAATTATTAGTTTTGTTAGGCCTAGCCCTTATAATAAAACCTCAATAATCAAAAATGTTTCATACTCGATACATAACTCATTTTATATTACACAACCTGCCATTTAAACATAGTAATTTATTGATATCTGATGAGCTTTTTGTGTACAAAACACTCATTATTAAGTCTCTTTTCATATTCATGCCGTAAAAAGAAGGCACGTGGCAACAATTTTAAGTACTAAAATAAAACCAATACACATCAAGAACACCTATAATATATATACTTGCCAGTAGTTTGCAATGTGGCAATTGACTTGCAGTCAAGATGGTTCAATTTTGTCCTAAAAGTAAAATAGGATCTGAATTATAATTTTAATAAAATATGTTAAAGGGTTGCTAGGTAGCAAGCGGGTTGATATCAAAATCACAAATTATAAAAGAAATATGTTTATGTTCGTGAGTGATAAACTTGAAATTTAATACAATTTTAAGAGTACTGACTGCAAATGTACGCTTGGAACGCGCCAATTTAGTAATTGTCATAATTATAAATGCTGTTAGTAATAGAAAGTAGTGCTGTGAAAAATAAACGGCATAGTTTTTTTCAGTTTGTATTTATCATACTTTAATAGATTGTTTGTTTTTGAATTTCGCGCAAAGCTACACAAGGGCTATCTGCGGTAGCCTTCCCTAATTTAGCAGTGTAAAAACCGGAGGGAAGGCAGCTAGTCACCAACACCCACCGCCAACTCTTGGGCTACCTCTTTTACCAACAAATGGTGGGATTGACCGTCACACTATAACACCCCCATGGCTGAAAGGGCGAGCATGTTTGGTGGGACGGGGATTCGACCCAGCGACCCTCAGATTGCGAGTCGAGCACCCTAATCACCTGGCCTTGCCGGGCCTACTTAAATAGAAAAAAGGCCTTGAATGTTTCATACATCACGATATATAAGCTGATGTGCACGTTTTTTTCTTCTGACACTTTTGTTTTAAGCACAAAGCTACACAATGGGCTATCTGTGCTCACCACGGGTATCAAAACCAGATTTTTAGCGTCATGAGCCTGCAGACTTACTACAGATGTCATCATGACTGTTTCGAATTTCTTAACTTTTTTCTTAACATTAAAGAAAAAAAGTTCTTACTTCAGTTTTTAAGACATCAGTGTATACTGCAATTTTTATATTGGTTTATAAGCATGTCAACATTCAGATCCTATTTCTAGTATTCAGTATTTGTGTCACCTTATATGACACAATGAGTAAACGCCAGGTTAGAAAACCCAAAGTTCAGATATAGCCATCCTCATTTTACACCAGGTGATTAGACGAAGGGCAATTCCCTGCCTACACAACTACTCTTATCAAAGTAGCAAGACTGAATATTTGCTAGTTCTGTTTAATATATACAACTTTCACTTATTCTGGTATACCTAGTTTTAACATACAACACTGATGTTATGTTACTTTTGCTCTGGGTCAGTACTTACCATTTTCGTCTTTTCATAGGTAAGGTTCCTGCAAATGTGTACACATTTGAAGGTTGGGTGATATCATGGAGGGGGGGTACATCCCTTGTATCTGTGGGAATGACTAACAATCATATGGATAGCAAATTACTACATGAGAACTAGCATTGTTCTTTCATAAGTATATATAATGTTATGTTTTCTCAGTTTAAAATAGATTGAGACTCATAGGAGATTCTACAGCTATTTCTCTAGAGATAAATTATATAAAGATCTCTCTCCAGTAAAGGTGTCATCCTTTGATCTTACATTGTTTAGATTTTGTTCGAAATAAAGAATGTTTGAGTTCTATATTTCATTGTCTCATATTCACACTTAAAGTACAAGTATTAAGATTTGCTCTGTGATATACTTCCTTATCAAACCTCTTGTTATTCTGCTAATCCCATGAAGTCACTCTAGGGGAGAAATCAGTACCCTTAATAATACTACACTGTCACAGATATAATGCTCTGTTGAAAGTGTGTGTGGGGGGGCATATTTAGTGACACATTACAGCTCAGACTTTGATATAGTAATCACTATGCCATGTCTAGCCCAAAATATTCTATACAAATTACTGTTACTGCATAGAAATAAAAGGTATACATTAGTAAGAAAGGTATAATATTTTTTACTAACTTCTTAACACCTCCATTTCAGGTACACCTAATGACTGATGTGGTGGGTAGATAGTTTCATTCTTCTTACTAACTATTCTTCTTGGGAGCTTTTTTTTTGGTATAATCCACTAGAAACTTTGAAAAAGTCCATTAATTAAACAACATTTTCCATCTATGGATTCTTTATTAAGTTTCTTGGGGTTGTGTAGAATAGTACTTTTTTAAATCAGTATTATACTTAATATTCCTTATTGAGTTTACAGACAGCTTTTCAATAAAATATAGCAGCATCGTAAAACAAATCTTATCTTAATCAGGCATATTATTACAGCTTCTGTTTCTGATGTTTACGGCTAAAAGGAAAAATGAACAAATAGTATGTTTCTCTACTACCGAAATGCAATATCACACACAGCTAACAAAACTTTTATTTCAAGAAAGAAGTGCAGACTCTTTATCTTGTGAAAAATTCAAATCAAACAGCAAAGAGGTTCTTTACAAGTTTAAACAGTAAAGAATATCTCTTTTCATCAATCTTTTCAGACAAAGCAAACAAAAAGCGAAATTTAAATGAATTATCTCAGTCATTAAGCATGTATTTATGTACTGTCCGTTTGTGTACTTTCAAGCAGTCCTTCCGTTGAAAACTCTTTGAACACAGGTTACAAAAGTGCAGCTGGACAACAGCTGCATGTTTCACTCGACGATGTCGAGCAAGGTTGCTCCGGTCAGTGAACAAGGTATCACAATCTTTACATGAGTATTGTTTCCCTTTGCTTTTTTTTCTGACATTTTTATTATAAGAAAATAAAGCATTTTCTATTAGAGCTGAATCCATAAAACCTGGAAAAAATTAAAATAAATTCAAAGTATAACATAAACATTCATGATTTGTATATATCAAGAAATTCCCAGAGAAATATTTTAAGATTTGAAAACCTACAACATATACCAAGCATTTTGGTTTAATAAAACAAAACAGTTGTAAATATTAAAAATCTGACAAAAAAAAACTTGATTAAAACCAGATAAAATTAACCCTTGACAAATTTAAAGTGACCATACATGACTGCGGAACAAATACTGGAAAAAAAAAAGTAAAATAAATCTTCAATCAGTTCTTCAAGTTTCATCATGATTTCCATGTTGGCATTCAGTGGTCCAATGTTTTCTAGGAAAAAAAACAACATAATATACACAAGTTGACAGAGATATTTATGCTATAAATGAAACTGATACAGTTAATTTGGTTGCATAAAATAAGTATCGTATTATTGTTGTTTACTTAATAAGGGCATTTTTATAATATATAAGAAATAGCTTTTCCAAGCAAGCCATACAGCACACTTGAAATATAATTAAAGAAGTCTTGAGAGCTGTTTGGAAGGTGGACCTCAGAAAAGTTCACTTTCAAATGAAGAGTCACATTTACACAAAATTCATGTCAATAATATGTAGTTCCATATTTGGTGACGAGGAACCCACTTTGAGACTAATAATGGCTGGAGACGGCTTGAATGGGTAATGAAGAAAAACTTTAATATAAGTTTAACATAACAGCAAATGTACGTTTCGACAAGGTTTTGTCATCATCAGGTACAAGGAATTAGCTTTTCAGAGCGGCACTGTA